TTTAAGTTTATAATTAAGAATAACACCTACTTTAACTATAAAGTTATTATTAATGTTATATAAATTAATAATAAAAATATCTTATATATTATTAATGTAGACACATTATTTTAGGCTGCTACATTCTTAAAATCTATGTCTACACAAGATACCTAGAATGCACTATGTAAATGCTAGATTAACACCTATTAAAAACCTCTAAACTATATTATGCATAACTCTAGTATAAACTTTGCTTTAAAGAATTTTTAAGCTTATGCAAAGATTATAGAAGCTACATGTAAGCAGATGCCTATAGAAGCATATTAGGCAGTTAGAAAGGTTAAGCGCGTACACACACCTCTTTAATAAGTGTTTAACATCCTAAAGACTAAGCTAGGTAACTGTATAGATAATAAGGCTATTCTATAGATAGTAGTTAAGGCTCTAAACAACACAGCTAGCCTGCATAGTCTAGTACCTACACTGCTAGTTTTTAAAGTATACCTAAGAATTAACCTAAACTCTCTGCTATTACTAGACATTATTGCATAAGTAAGCGCTATATAAAAGGTAATAAAAATACTTTAAAAGGACTATATAAAAGTAAACATTAACTATATAATTAACACTTATAATAGCCCTATAATATATAAAGTTCTTAACCTCCCCCTTAGCTTAGAGATTATAGCATAGAGAGAGAAAAAAGGCTAGACTAGCTTATATAAAATTAAAAGTATTAAAAGAAAAGATGTTATTATTAAAAAAAAAATAGCCTACTAAAGCTTTAATGTACGCAGGTTAAACTATACTATAAAAAAAAGAAGAAAGATAACTTACTTATAATAAATAACCTAGATAAACTAATCCCTATATAAAGGGATTCTTTAAAGAAAAGGAAGAGAAAATAGCTTTATAAAAATGTTATAAAGGTAGAACTAAAGCCTACTACAAACTAAGCCTTTTAGGATAGCAATGCTGCACTTGTAATAAGGTAGGCGCCCCGCCTGCTAAGCTGATACTATACAACTTTCCCCACTGTACTAAAAGGTACGCATAAGAATACTTAAGCTAAGTATTCTCGCATAGTATAATATATATATAGGCAATGCTAGGGTAAGCACTAGCACTAGCAGTTGTCTCTAGCCTAGCCTAAACCTCTATAAGCAAGAGAAGGCTATGTGGTTGACTGTGCTAACCTTGTTACAGCACTAGTGTAAAAGAAAGATATAAATATAAAGAGAAGTAAAAGGTAAAAGAAACTTATATAAAGTCTAGACTAGGTATTCTTAACCTAAAAAAAAAAGAATAATTAAGCCTTATCTATTAAGCTTTATATAGACAGTGTAATTACTACACTTAAAGAACTATTTAAAGAATTAGACTATATAGAGATAGACACCTTAATTACTAATAGCACTTTTAAAGTTATAGTATATAACTTAATAAAGCATAAAAGTTAGATTTTTAACTTTTACTTTATATAAAAAGTAAAAGGCAAAACAACCTAACTATATAAGAAATCCTGCCTAGTGTTTGCTAGCTACTTAGATAAAAAAAAAAAGAAATTCTTACCTAGTTACTAACTATTTAGAAAATAAGCTAAAGACTACTTTTAGCTATAAAAGTAAGCCTAAAAGCTATATATAAAATGCATTTTAAACTATATAATATTATATAAGTATACATCTAATTAATAGATAAGCTTATGCGCACGCTGTACATAAAGCTACTAAAAGAGATACGCTAGAGCTTTCTACTAAATATAATACTCTAGGTTGTATAACCTTTATATAGAGCTGCTAAATTAGGACTGTATTAGTTTAAAACATACTATAACTACTATAAAAAAAAGCTGCGCATGTATATCTTTTTATATAACCCCTACTTTTTAATTACTAATAAAGAAGAGCACACTTTTAGTATTACTAGCTTATAAATAGATAACACTTTAAGCATTATAATAAAAGATTTTACATAAAAAAAAAAACTATAAAAAGTAAAGTTTTATATAAAAGGTAAAACTATTCTAGTAAAGAAGTAGCTTATTAAGTTTAATAGTAAAAGAATTAAGCTTACGCATAACATAGTAGTTTTTACTTAAAAAGGATAAGTAAGCTACCTTTATATAATTAACTTAAAAGATAAAGATGCTGCATAATAATATATTAAGTAACATATAAGAGGGGTATACATTACATCTATGTGTTAACTAAAGGCAGCATTTAACTTATTTATTACTATATAAACTATAGACCTTTTATATAATAACATTAACACACTTAACGCATAAATCTAATAGTAAATAGATAATAGTAAGTGTAGTCTTACCTTTTTACTATTACAGCTTAATTATGTAAAGCTGTTTATCTTTATAGATAAATTATTTACTAATAATAAAGACTTTAGCTTATAGCTAAGATTTTTAATTATATTAAGTAATAAAAACTATATAAAGTAAAGCAACTGCTTTAAAATACTAGACAACATTATACACTAGAATTCTACTAAGTGTAAAAGAGTAACTAAGAGTGTCTTTACTAGTAAACTATATAAAATAGTTAAAGAGTTTAATAATGTAATTACACTTAGTACAACTCTATAGTAAATTATATAAACGCTTAAACTACTACTAATTCTAGTAGTAATCTGCATAAATTTAAGGTTTTTATATAATTACCTTATTAAGCTAGGCACTACTAGTAAAAAGTAACTTATAATTAACATTATATTACTCTATAAATTATACAAGAAAAAAGAAATTACTAAAATAAAATAAATTAATAGTAAAGATAACTTAGTAAATACATGTATAAAGAAAACACTAAACTAAGCTTTTTAATTATTAGTCTTAACTAACTGCCTCTTTGTCTAGATAAAAGCATCTGTAGACTAGCTAGATCCTGTGCGCAAAGATGCCTTAGACTAACTAGACTAACAACACTTTTATATAAAGCTTATTTCCCTTTATTTATTTTTTTTATATTATACACACTTATTTTTTTTATTATAAGGATCTGTTACTATTAGCACTATATAAAAAAAGAAAAGAGCTAGGGGATTGTACAGTAAAGCTTAGAAAGTAAAAAATAAAAAAAATAAAAGCTATTTACATAGCATAACTAGCCTATTCTAACACACAGCATTACTAAGGTAAGTCCTAATAAATAAAGTAGAGTAAAGGTAGAACATAATTAGATAGACCTACATAGATAGAAGAAAGGTAACGTGTACAGAAGGTAACTTTTTAGACAAAAAAAAAAGTTGCTAGTGTCTGTACACAGTAGCAGCGTTGTAGCCTAGATATAAGCAATTACGCACAAGCAAGATTACATATCTATGTTACATAATGCTTGTGTGTAAACCTTTGTGCGTAAACATCTAGATATCCCCCTTTTTCTTTGTATAGAGGAAAGATAAAGAGTAATAGAACTAGAAACATGTTGCCCTTACCTTACCTACCTTGTACGCTGTGCACACTGTACATCACTCTTACTCTTGCTACTTAAGTGCTCATACTATAAGCAGCTAGCTGTCAGAGCCCATTCAACACTTATCTTATTAAAGTTATAAGTATTCTTATCTAGTATTCTGTACCTTTAATGTGTGTCCTTTATAAGCTTAAACTAGGCTTTAAACTTAACTAGATCCTAACAGAGAGCGCGCTAGAAGTGCAGCTTCCTGTCCTACTTTATCTTAAGCTCTAGCTAGCTGTTAATAAAGCGCGCCACCTAGCATTTGCCTACACGCGGGGGTGGAGGCTGCTGGCTGTAAGCAGCAAGCAGAGTGTCTGCTATTTATTACATATTAATAATATGTGGTGGAAAACTGCGCAAGTTAAGGTCTAGGATCTAGCGTACAAGGGACTACTTTTTAACAGGTAATAGCTTTTGTTTTCTTACGTTAGCTGTAGCTTATAGAAGGGCGCCTGTAAGGCAACTGCAAAGCGTTAATTAAGGCGTGTTATATAGCGCTAAGACGCAATAAACAGATAGATTTTTGTAAGTTTAAAGAACAGAGGCAGCTAATGCTAGTCTGCCCTCTTTTCAACCTAATTAGAGCTGTTGTGGTGGTGGTAGAGGCATGTTAGTTGATAAAGACGCGTTGATTTTGGTGGGGCTGGCGGATGAGTGATTTTGGCGGATGAGTGATAAAACACGTTAAATTACACCATGTTTACGGATGCAAAGATTCAGCAATGTTGGTGCCCGAACAGGGAAAGATTGAAGTTGAAGGAGTAGATACGGAATTCGGAAGAGATGGGAAAGTGGTTCTCACATATCCGATATCGCTTGATCGATGTTGATCCTCTTGAACTATCCAAATTCCATTGATCCACTTAATAACCTCTCTCTTTCTAGCGCGAGAACTTACAGATTGGTTCCACCCTGACTATGTTCCAAAGCAGGCGATCTGGATGGAAAGCTTCATTCTCCCCACCTCTGCGTTCTACAACCAAGGCGGTGGACCAGGGTCCGATATGTGACACTAGGCTGAAGAAATGCTATGCAAGAAGGTGTTTTAAGTGCGGGTGTTGCTACTCATGAGTCCGCTCACGGTCGGGTCCTCTTTTTCCCGTCCATAGTTCTAGGCCACCGGATATCAGCAACTATGGAGGAGTATTGAAGCCAGTTAGTGAAACGGTGCTCATGACATACATACACAACGTGGTGCGAGCGCCGGGAGGGTTGGATGACTCGGGAGGAGATGCGGGGAGGTTACACCAGCATTTCTGAAGTGCGTAAGAACCGTTTTTACCTACCGACGACGGAAGAAGGGGTGGTTGGTTGACGACGGTCGAGTTGCCGCGGCCTTCTTTCCTAAGACGGATGCCCTGGTGGTCGTGGCCTATCCGGGGGCGTCCAATTCACTCCGCTGTGCCACTCTCGCCAAGCTGCACCGGCATGAAGCTCTGCTCGAGTCAGTATAGCGCAATGCACGATTGGCTCGCACGACTGGGGGATGAATCTTGGCAACAAGCTCTTCCCCACGACTCTGAGAGAACTTAACAGCCATGTTTTCTGCCGATGCTCTAGCTGACCATCCTCACGATTCAATTTGCGGTGCACCATCCGTGAGTCGTGCCAGTTGAGGTTGTGTGTATAAATTAACGATTAACCCAGCGATTCCCTCGTCTTGTGACGGTAGGCAGCATTACTGCTAGCACACGTTCTCCTACTTTTTCTTGTCATCCTCTTGTTGATCGGCTCGATTCACATCTGAGTGCCTTAATTCACATCGGAGCGCCTTCATGGTCAAGACTCAGTTCGCCATGGATCAAGCGGAAGAGAAGCGCACCACCAGTCACCATGAAGACATGAAGGAGGAGACCACCCATCAAGCAGCTGAACGCGGGCATGTTGCTACTGATATGTATGGCACACTTTCTTGATTCCTTGTCGCTCTGATACTTGATCGCATATACAGCATGTCTGCGCCTATCGTGGAAGACTGGCAGGGTGATTTCGATCTGTTAAGTTCTTGCTGGAACTTAGCAAGCCGTCGCCAACTGCTATCTCGATACCCTTCTTATGTTCCACGTTAGGTGATAAGATGTAACATGACACAACGCCACTTGTTGCGAATTGGAGGTTTAGACGACATCCACTTGGCTGTCCTCTTCCACCTAGCAACAGTTCTCAAGAATCAACCTTTCATCATTCAATATCCCGTACAATAATGGGCTGTTCTAACCAGTTTATGCAGTTATGGCCATCCTCTCGTCCATTTCGACCCCGCCGCCGAGTCCCGCCTCCGTTGGAAGATCGATCTCTGTATCATTCCAACGGTAGCCTTACTCTATTTGTTCTGCTTCATCGATCGAGCCAACATCGGTATGTGTTCTTCATTCCTAGATGTTTCATTCATTGTTTCTAATGATTCCCAAGGCAACGCAAAAATAGCTGGGCTTGAAAAGGATCTGAAATTGAAGAACTACGATTACAACGCAGTTCTTTCAGTCTTCTACATCTCGTACATTATATTCGAAATCCCTTCTAATATATGCTGCAAATGGATCGGTCCTGGGTGGTTTATCCCCGCAATCTCACTTGGTTTTGGCATTTGTTCTATTGGAACCGCGTTTGCCAACAACATTCACACCATCAGTGGTGTGCGCTTCCTGCTCGGCATCTTTGAGGCTGGGATGCTTCCTGGTAGGTTGATTAAACGTTCTCTATCCTTACGGTTACTTACGCCTATTAGGCATAGCATATTATTTGAGCCGTTGGTACCGCCGCTCCGAGCTAGCGTTCCGGCTATCCCTATACATTGTGATGGCACCTCTTGCTGGAGCTTTCGGTGGTCTATTGGCTTCTGCAATTCTCAAACTGGATCACTTTGGTGGTCTCCATCGATGGAGAATGATTTTTGCTATCGAAGGGATTATCACATGTGGCCTATCAGTCATATCCTTTTTTACCCTCACGGACAGGCCTGCAACCGCTAAGTGGCTATCTCAGGAAGAAAAAGACCTCGCTATTGCCCGAGTTAAGTCAGAACGAATCGCCACCACGGAGGTTCTCGATAAACTTGATCTGAAGAAAACGCTCCGTGGAATTCTCAGCCCGGTAACCCTCGTAACTGCTTTTATCTTCTTACTCAATAACATAACGGTACAAGGCCTGGCCTTCTTTGCCCCGACGATTGTACAGACTATATATCCAAAGGAGACTGTCATCAACCAGCAGCTTCATACGGTACCTCCGTATGTAGTTGGAGCGTTCTTCACGGTCTTATTTCCCTTCCTCAGTTGGCGATACGACAAGCGGATGATCTTTTTCATCCTAGGAAGCCCGCTGATAATGATTGGATATATTATGTTCCTTGCAAGTACCGATTCCCAAGTCCGGTATGGCGCTACCTTTATTATCGCCAGTGGAGCTTTCGCCTTTGGTGCTCTTTGCAACGCGCATGTTTCCGCTAATGTGGTGTCTGATACCGCTCGAGCATCTGCCATCGGAACGAATGTTATGTTTGGGAACATTGGAGGTCTTATCTCAACATGGAGTTTCCTCCCTTTCGATAAACCAAACTACCATATCGGAAACGGGCTCAACCTCGCTACATCCTCGACGATCCTTATTTTATCGATTTGCTTGCTCTTATGGATGAATTGGAGCAACAAGAGCAGGGAGCAGACGGCTGTCGATGAAGAGCTGGCTGGTCTCACCCAGCAACAGATTCAGGATCTGGACTGGCGTCATCCTAGTTTCAGGTGGCGACCATAATCGAATTTGGCTCATTGTTCTCCGCCTCTTAATGCGTGTTTTTATTAGTATGTAATTAGTCGTTTAAAGGTGAATCTAAGCCAGTCCGTTGAAAAATGAAAGTTCACGATATGCACATCACGTGACTTACATTGATAAATGCGCTAGTACAGATTAGACTGACCTCGGTACCCCGCGGCTCAGGTTCGGCGACCGTCATCCTCCAAGCTATCTAACAACCAGAATAGTTACTATGGCCGTTTTAACCCTCCGTTCGCCCTACACTACTCTATTATCTTCTAAACCCTCGGCTTTGGTCCATCCTATTTATCCTTAATTCTTAATTCTTTGCATGTTCAAGCGCAACTTCCTCGCCCTGAGGTATATTTCCACTCTTCATATTTGCTATGCCTTCTGCAATTGCAATTAAGCAAGTGCCTGGGAAGCCGGGCCAAGTCTACTATCCTCTAGAGAAGATTTCCATTCCCACCCCTAAACCCTCAGATAATCAGGTTTGTCCATTAGGTTCTCCCAGCCACATGTACCGTTGCCATAACTATTTTTAGGCCGTCATATCGATTACAGCTGCTGCGCTAAACCACCGAGACCTCTTTATCCGACAGCACCTCTACCCCGGCACCTCCTTCGGCATACCCCTCCTTGCCGATGGCGTCGGCGTTGTGACATCTACGGGATCATCACCAGAAGCGAAGAAATGGCTGGGCAAGCGCGTCATTCTGAACCCAGGGACCGGTTGGAAGGATGCCCCTGAGGGCCCTGAGCATCCCAAGGGGTACCAGATCATGGGGGGGACTAAGATGAATCCCTTAGGAACATTGGCAGATGTGGTTTGCATTGATGTGGGGGAGTTGGAGGAAGCCCCTTCACACCTTAGCGATGAGGAGTCAGCAGCTTTCCCCTTAACCGGACTAACTGCCTGGCGAGCGTTATTTACAAAAAGCGGCAACGCGAAACCGGGTCACAATATCTTAATCACAGGAATTGGAGGAGGTGTGGCATTGATGGCATTGATGTTTGCAGTCGCTCAGGGTTGCAGCGTGTTTGTTACAAGTGGGAATGAGGAAAAGATTCAGAAAGCGAAGCAGTTGGGCGCAGCTGGTGGTGTGAACTATAAGGAAGCGGGTTGGGAAAAGAAGCTCCAAGGGCTACTACCACCGGACAGGAAATGGGTAGATGCGATTGTAGATGGTGCGGGAGGCGATGTAGTGCAGAAGGGATCCAGGCTATTGAAGGCCAGTGTTGGCCCTTCCTGTCTTACAAGCGGCTGCTGACAGCTATTTAGGCGGGCGGGATCATCTCAGTCTATGGGATGACTATCAGTCCATCAATGCCCTTCTTAATGGGAGCAGTACTGAAAAACATTGAGGTTCGAGGCTCCACTATGGGCTCTAGGAAAGAGTTCTCCGACATGGTCGATTTTGTGCAAAAGAAGAAACTAAAACCAATCGTCTCGAGGGTAGTCTATGGCTTGGATATTGAGGCAATCGATGGTTTGTTTGACGATATGAAGAAAGCGAGCCAATTTGGAAAGCTTGTTGTTGTACTCGATAAGGGCCCCGAATCTAGCAAGTTGTAGATATCAACTACTAATTTCTCAATCGTGCTACATGTTGAAAAGGTTCAGCTGAGGACGTCAGTATCCATCATCTTAAAATTATCGCAAACCTCAACCATGGGGGTAACATAATTAAATTTTCTGTAACTAACTTACTAGTACTTTACGTTAAGTTTCAACAGCGAACACGGAGTAGATTTTAACTATACTTCCATGGGGGAAAATCTGTCTTAAACATTGGCACGCTGGACAAAGCTCGAATGCTTTGGATGGGATTAGGGGGAAAAAAAAGAAGAAGAATCAGTTACTTCCCCGGTTAACGGCTCATTCAATTTTAATCGTACGGCCTCGGAGACATCCAATTCAGAACTGCGCCCCAGATTCCGTCCAAAACTGGACTGGCTCCTTCGATTCAAACGACGAGTCTTGGAAGACTCAACCCCCGGCTACCTGTCTCTAACATCACCGCATTGCCGTCAAGATTGATTCAGGGAGGATGAGCCCTCATAGAGAAATCACGCAGACTATATTACAGCTACTATATCGTTAGCAATACCTACCTAGCCCTACTTGCTCCTCTTAAACGTGGACTAGGAATTGCTGTGGATTATTCACTGATCTCTCTCGCGGGATTACCCAATCCAGAGAGAAGATGGCAGGCAACCCAGTGAAAAGGGGCATAATTTTTCCGAGCAAAATATCTCTATTATAACTAGAATTTATGCCGAGTTTTGATCTTTCACTCTTGCAAATATCTAGCCTCTAACTTGAAGTTATTAGACTCTAATTGCACTACTTCTGATGCTACCCCGGAAATCCTTCGATATATAGCGTTACAAACAACGCCTTCGAGTTGATTCGGGAAGATCATTTGCATAAACACCTACACATGACCTTCTGCGAAAGCAATTTATAGAACACTAACGGTTTTGAAGGAGGTAGTAATAATTGGAAAATCCTAGGAGTCTGAGATACTATCTTGCCCGCTATCGCTACTCGTAGGCGCTGTCGTGGATATTCTACAGAAAGGCTCTTGAGATCCGTTCGTAGAGTAGTATGATGAGTTGCTAGTCTAAACTTCCCGTATAGTCGTTGAATGATATGGCTCTTAGATAAGAGGTTCCCCCAGCCGCCGTTATAATAGCAGACTAACGCTAGGAGATTTATCGGTAGCTATAGCCTCGCAAACTCCTCCTACGCATCTAAAGCCTCACCAAATGCAGGCAGGAAACCTATTTCAACGAGTTTTTGCATCCTCAAGGAGGGCCCCGGGTTTTGTTGCCGAGATGGCAATGTACCGTCAACGTCCCTGGCCGCGGTATCCTTATACCCCCACCACAGTGATGATGAAATATTGCTCAAGCCATAAGAATGTACTAATTACGAAAGGAATATAGGCAATCAAATAAGTTAGTCTTGCCATAGGCTTGATATCTCAGAATAATCTCGAAATATCACGTCAGTGAACCCGGAGTCCTTGAGCATCGCCTTGAACATGCCTTGAACACGCCAGGATGTGAAAGGGCGCGTTCGTTGGCATAACGGCGAAATTGTTGATCGCTTCTCGTATAAATCATGCCCCTGCAAGGCTACAATGTGCCATGAGCTCGGCCTGGGCAATGCACTGGGTGGATTGTTACCAATTAGGAGATAGAGTCTGCGAAAATGGCACCCTTCTACTCGAATTCTCTATTCACAATTACAGCAACATCTAGTGCACACAGCGATCTAATGCTATTTTCTGATAGACGGTCACCTGTTCCTATAGCTGGTAGCGGAGCACTCAAAGTGCCAACCGTTTCCATCCCCGTTCAACATGAGAACAGAACATTCCGTCTAAGGCCTCAGCTTCATCTCGCTCATGATCGAGTCATTGATTTAGAAAATGCTCGACATCACACTGACGACGCACCACTTATGGACTCGTGCATGGGCTTACCAAGGTCGCCTTTCATCTTCTCAGGCACTCCACTTTCATGCAGAAGAGCTGGTATGGGAATGGAAAAGAAGCATAAGGTGTGAGTGCGGTAAATTAGACGGCGCTACGCCTAAAGACAGCCAGAACTTCATAACCACGATAACCCAGACAATCGTACGGACCATCAATTAGGTGGATATCTCAAATCACTTTTTTCGAGAGTAGATCATCCAGATGCACTTCAAGAGAAATTTTCATATATTTAGATGGGTCCCGTATCGAGGTACGCAAGGCTTGATCCTACGCACGAGAGCGGCCGGTTACCGACCCTATCCGGGCTTGCTTCAAAATTCTATATTCATTCCCTAAGGTCTTACTTTTCTGGCTTGTGGTATAAAAGCCTTGTAAAGCATTTGCTTTACGAAAACGTACGCAATGAAGGCTAATCCTTCCTCTTTGATTCTGGTCGGGGCGCCTATTGTCGCACGTGAATTTGTCTCATTGACCCTTTGTCAAGGACGAATCCAAGGCCTTGACCCACACCAGTCTCCTGCTTAGGACTAGCGCTGTTTTTATCTCCTGTAGAGTCACCTCAGAGCTCTGTCGAGCTCCTCAGACCAAACCTCAGATCTTGCACCCTTGCTCAATCTACCTAGTTTCGTTCTCACCACCTAATTGATTACTCGAAACTCCACATGCCCTCTATTGTCCGTTAGCTCCATAACTGACCGTACGATACTTATCTCACTACCTAGAAACAACGTTCCCCACAACCGTATGATCAATCTTTCTTTCAAACCAGATACAGACATCACATTCTTTAGAGTATCGGCGAAGTTCCTAGGTAAGAGTCCATACGGTAGGGTTAAGAACGTGACGTTAAGTGTGCGGGGAAGAAGTATGAAATGCGTGGTGGACAAGATTTTTGGGACGAATCACGACGAATCGAAAAACTCAACTAAGAACATTCTTTCAGAGGATAGACGATCTAGTTATTCTCTATATTGATGGGCATGCCACCATCGAGAGCCACTCCACACTCCTCTGTCTTGTCCTACGCCAGGCTTCAATCGAGCACCGTCTATACCAGCGCGGAGGCCTATGGTATTTCGAGAGGATTTAAAGTTAGAAGCGTGAATAAAGGATATGATGTTAATTATTCTTATAGGGAAAGACTTGGTCCTCAAGATCAGATGTCTTGGCCCTTCTACAAGCCCTCCTACGTAATAAAGATTTTGAGAGAAGAAATCTGTACACTTAGATAAGGTCCTTCCAATTTGACTCTACCGTATGAACTTCGCGTCTTATAGGACCATTCCATTTCGGTACAGCCTGTGGAAATTATTCGTGGAGCGACGACAGTTAAGTCTTATACCTTTCTTTCGTTTGTTAGGTAAATTTTCTAGGTTCGGCGATTCGTTAACTCGTGAACCCGGCTACTTGTCACAGTCGTCTCGCCGAAGCTAGTCTTCTACCAACCAACTCGCAGAACTTCGACCAGTTCAGAATCAGATTTTATCTACAAGGGGTCCAATTCGCGTGGATCCGGAACACGAAGTGGTTGGGTTTATTGCGGCACGGATATAATGTCTCACCATACGGCCGTCCCTGGAAGCCGTTTGCGGGGGCTTACGGAGACCCTTACCGTTGACACCAATATAAAAGAAGGTCGAGAACGAAGTGAATTAAGGACAACCAAGCCCGACAATTCACATATTTGAGCTCCTATCTTATCCCTATTACACGATGCCATTCATCAATTCCCCCACCTCCAAGGACAACCTTCCAGTCGTTCCTCTTTGGATCAATGGTTCTGCACAGCCCATTGATGGGCACTCCCTCTTTCCTGTCACAAGTTCCGTTCAGGAAAAGGTAATTCATAATGCTGTTTCTGCCTCGCCGGCATCTGCTACTAAAGCCTGCAACGCGGCGGCTACTGCTTTTACGTCCTGGCGTAAGACATCGCCCGCGCATCGCCGTGCTCTGTTGCTCAAGGCTGCAGACATTCTCGATAGCCGGGCAGAAGAGATCATGGATTGGCAAATGGCAGAGACAAGCTGCCCGAAAGAATTTGCCGGCTTCAATATCAAGGCGGGAACCATCTATGTTCGCGAAATAGCGGCTGCTACGAGCGAACTCCGTGGTACTGTGCCGCAGAAATCAATGGGTCCAACCGGAGAAGAGGTGGGAGGTCTGACGGTTGTGGTAAGAGAGCCAATTGGTGTCGTTTTGATTATTCCTCCGTAAGTGCCTGCTGAAGACCTTAGTGGCTCATCTACCGGATTTCCAAGTACTTATAAATAGCATAGTTGGAATGGTGCTGTGATACTCCCCCTTCGTGCTATAAGCATGGCTCTCGCTGCAGGTTGCACGATCGTCGTTAAGGCTTCTGAACTCTGTCCGCGAACGCATAGCCTCTTGGTCGAATGCTTCGAGGAAGCCGGGATTCCGGCCGGCGTAATCAACATGATCCAAGCACGACGCGAAGATGCAGCACTAGTTGTTGAAGCTATCGTCTCCCATAAAGCGGTTCGAAAAGTCGATTTTATCGGTAGTGCTGCAGTTGGCAGCAAGATTGGCCAGGTCTGCGCGAAGTATTTAAAACCCGTGTTGATGGAGCTGGGAGGGAAGGGGCCGGCAATTGTCCTGGAGGATGCAGATTTGGAGAAGACTGCATTTCTGTGTGCAATGGGCGGTAAGTTCTCACGGCCCTTTCCCCCCTGGCAGAAACAAGATGCTGACAGTCATAGCTGTGCTTGACCACGGTCAACTCTGCTTTTCCACAGAGCGTATCATCGTCCACAAGTCGATATATGAGAAGTTCACGCAAATACTCGCTGCCGTAATGTCGAAAATACCCAAAGCAGGAGATGCCGTGACCCAACAATCTGCAACGCACGCCTATGACGTCTTAGTGGACGCACAGGAGAAAGGCGCGACGTTCCTTGTTGGAGGCCCAGAGTACATTAGCAAGACGAGCCTCAAACCGACGCTCGTGACGAACGTAAAGCCCGATGCTCGGATCTGGGACGAGGAGACTTTTGGGCCTTCAGCTACCGTGTACATTGCCGAAGACGATGAAGATGCAATTACGAAGGCGAATGATTCTGCGTATGGATTGAGCGCTGCGGTGCATAGCACGAGTTGGGAACATGCGTACAATGTAGCAAAATACCTAGAATATGGGCAGGTGCAGATCAACAACATGACTTGCACAGACTCGCGTAAGTATCCGCCATCGTCCTCAGATCTATTCTGAACTGACATCTTGACAGCCGGTGGGCCTATCCGCGGAGTCAAAGGGTCAGGTTGGGGACAGTCCAATTCGATATGGGGGTTGCATGAGTTCTCGATTGAGAAGACGATTGCATTCCATCCTTCAAGCGAAAGCAATATGCTCATCCACTGAGCAAATTATGCATGTTCCAACGCAGTTTGTAGCACCTGAGAGGGTACGGACCTGCATTTCAACATCGCATTGCGATCGATATCACTCCATCTATTATTCTACTCTCCTGCTGATCTTACGAATAATAATGCTTCTTTGCCTTATATGTTGATCCAATCTCACCCCATTTGATCTGGCTGAACGTCACAGCTGGTGAAGGTTCGATTTTCTGAATCACTTTCGGATCTCCCTCGGTCGCATTGCAGGGACCCGCGTTGCCACTATCGAGCCAGTGCATGAAGCCACCGTCGTCCCACCAGATACTCATAGCAAGCACCATTCCGCGCGACATTGACTCCCCCATTCCCTTCATACCTCCCTCGCTGATAAATTTTGTAGCCCCGTTCTTGGAGCAGTAAGCATCGTTGATAGGGCCCGTAACGTTGACCGCTGCATTTTCGAAGACTTTTCCGTTTTGGACGTAGAGGCGCTTGACCTCTTGCAATACGCCGTCTTTGGCAGGAAACTGCGTCACTACGGTGAAGGGCTTGGACGTGTCGACTTTCATGCTGGCGCCGGGCCCGTAGTATGACTTATCCCCGGCAGAGTAGGGGTTGTTACCACAACCGTTCTTGTCACAAACGCCAGTGGCTCCACACTCACTCCCAGTGCAGCGGTAGAGACCAGGCTTGCTGCACGTATGAGGAGCAAGCTGAGTCGCCTTCTTGTTAGCTTCCCAAATGTCAAGTTCATTGCAGCAGATTCCTTGGGCTTTGATATTGCCCTGCACGGCATTAGTACTTCTGGATGTTCTTAAGGATAAGTTGTGGGTTCAATTGTGACTTACAACACCATTCACCCACGGCGTGGTGAAGCATTGGGCATCGCAATAACCCGTTCCATACGCAGCCCCCCCTGGATTGAGCTTACTCTGGCCTCCAGTCTCTTCCATTTCGGAAAAGTATAAAGCACCATTCATCCCACAGGGGAGCTTAGAAACGTCGACATCAAAGCTCAATTCGTTTCCGGTCAGTTTGATCATCTCATACTTCTTCTCGTTCTCGGCGAGAAGATAGATCCGAGGACTGGCGACACCGTTCTTCCCAAACATCTTCATTAACACACTACCGCCTTCAGTCGTGACTCCATAGTCGGCGTAGTTGTTAATGCCTTCCATGATGCAATTCTTGGCGCACGTCTCCTCATCAGGGCAGACTGTTTTATTAGGTGGGTTTCCCCAATCTCCACAGCCTAGTTTGGTATTCTTCGCCTGGTAGATTGGATGTGACGCTGAATCTAGCACAAGTGCAGTCTGCTGCGATTTGCAACCATCTTTCGTGGTACACTTCCAGGTTTGAAGCTTGGGGTGGGTTTCGGGATTCTTGCCTGGGGTCTGAGCCGCAACGAGGGCCAGGAACAACGATGTCAAGAGCGCCAGCGAAGGAGACATGATGGCTGATTATTGCCAATCCAATTGATTGAGGAAAGAAAATGTGGCGTGCGTGAAAGGTAGGAGATTATGGAGGCAACGCAACGAAACTTATACCAAAAGCCAGAGTGACACTCCGGGCCGGATATCATCATTATGATTAAATTTCACTTTACGGGACGTCAGTTCGATGCAGGACAAAAACGCTACTACCCTTTTCCATCCACACAAAACTTTCGGTCCAGATCGTGGGGATCATCGTCGGAGTGGCTGTACACATGGGTCCAAGGTTCTCCGAAGGTGGCTGGCTTCAATTATATTTAATGGTGCGTTTCGCATGCAGTCGCGGGGAATAGAATCAGCATAGAATCGTCCGGGAGATGTTCTTTTGAGAAATTTCTCTATCATGTGAGGCTGTTGTAATTAAGATTGGATATTGCGGGTAATTGCGATCGCTTGGCAGGCACTGCACCCCGGGTTTTGAACGCCAAGACGTCCCTTGGCCAGGCAAGAGACACGGCAGACGGTAGGGATTGTCGGCATACGGGGGTTAGTTGATTCGTACCTGTTCGCGAGGCCTTGCTGGTGAGATTCGGGATGAAGGGGTCCAGTGGGGTGGGTGCTAGGGATATCGGCGCGGAGAACCTGGCGACGAAGCCGAGGTTACGGATTTCGTGAGGTATTATGCTCGTATCGGCTGCTTGGACCTGAATAACTTTGCAGAAGTATGAGGGTAGATGAAGTGCGTTTGGTGTTGAGATATGATCGAATTTCGCGAGGGGTCTCGACCGACAACCCCTTGACAAATCCGGGTTAGCATCATATTGTTACCCCTGCTTGAGCACTGGCATTAAAGATACTGTTTGTTTGAAGGAAAGATATTTAAGGATTATCAATCCGATTTCAGACACATCTGCTCAAGATCAAATCCGCTCTCCATGACAGACACTTCACCAACCCTCAACCCCTGCCACTGACGATACATCTTCTCGTATTCAGACAGTGTCCGCTGCACTGCTAATGTGGCGAGTGATCGACAACCTCAATGTTGTTCCTACCAATCATTAATACATGACTTTCTCCGCAGAAGAGGGTCCGATACTGACCCGACGGGATCCAACACGAATGTGCCATAATAGTTTGGATGGTAATGCTCTCTGAGTCCTGGCTTGCCATTGCAGGTTCCACCCGCCTTCAGAGCTTCGGAGTGAAACTTGTCAACGGTATCATGGTCCTTTGCTCTGAATGCCACATGGAAGCCACCACCATTTGTATCTTCTTTGGAGGCAATCCAGAACGGTACCTCGCCTTTGCTGGTTCCAAAGCCGACGGCTTTTCCTGGAAACTCCATCTGTTTGCTGTACCCAATTGTTGCAAGGGCAGTGCTGTACCAAGCGACGATTTCGTCAAACTTGGAAAGGGGGACCTGGCAAAGGACGTGATCGAGCATTTTGGCTAAGATTTGGGGAAAGAGAGATATTTGGTCAAAGACGTATAAGTCTGAAAATGTGGAAGAGTGAAGAATCCAGATGGAGCTCGATGGCTGGGCTGAACTTTTGTATCGCGCTCACGAAAAGCGGGGCCGGAAAGCCAATGACCCGAGAATGCGCGGTGTCATGTGCTTTCGTGACTCACTGGACGCCTTCGCAGCTGATGTTGGGCTGATGTGCAAACAAGGGACCATTCAGCTAACTACATTTACGAGGTCCATGTTCCAGTGCAACGGGCGCCCTCTAAATCCATGTTACCGCTTCGCCAGTCCCGTATTTCGAATGGCTAGAGTTCTCCTTCTTAGGATGAGCTAATGCCATTAGCTACTGATATGATACGCCTAGATTCCACAAGTCATGTTGGGAGTTCAAGGGATTGACATGCTCCCGAGTAGAGCAACGCTACTTGGATACCAGCTATAACCAGCAAGAGGTGAAGACAAGACGTCTACATTTTTCCGATAGTAGAGAGATCGCTTGAAAGTACAGAAGCTTTTGGCTTCCATTATGGGGATGCAAATGTTTGATTGTTTACCAATTTTTCTCTAATTCCTTCTTCTCGTCCCTTACAATCGCCACCTCAAGCTTTCCATCAAACACCAACTCATCCTTAATTACCAAACTTTCCTCAGCCGGCCAGATCTTACTCTAGGTTACGGCGCCGATAATGCGACGAAGAACTTATAGTATTAAACTAGATTTGCGATATATTGCGTATTGCTAATTTCAACTGAGGCATCGATGCTCTTCGTGAGCGAGGGTCAGGCTGGACTGATACAGCGAAGCAGAGCCGCTGCAGCCCTCCAATTCATCCCAGCGATGTATCGATAACGACTATGGGGGTGATAAAGAGATGACACGTAGATACGACGAGCCTTGACGATCCGATATAAATAGTCTGATATCGAAATTGCAATTATGGGTTCAAGGAAGATGCCTACGGAGGTTATGAGGCAGAGCAGCGATTCGGTGGAAGTGACGGCCTTCCAAGGCACCACAATCCCTCCTCCAATGAAAGTTGCAATCACTGCCGCACGATGTGGGCTGATGTGTTAGGGAACCAGGAAGCTATGCCACTCGAGACGAATATTCCATTTTCAGAAACGTTGACGCGGATAGTTGTTCGAATAGCAGATCTAGTGGTCACCACAGCCCTGAAGACGAAGAACCATTCAAAGCTTGTGTGGCTGAATGAATTGGAATGGAAGTTGCACAGACCAGGAAAGGAGGTGGTCGCGCATACCTTGACTGGTAATCCCGGGGCCAACGGGGAGGCGGTTCAGAATATTCAGTTATCTTGGCCAGATAGCAAACAGCATGGCCGCCATGGCTATATACTCTGTGTATTTTTGAATGGAGTGCCAGACGAGCGCCGTGTTCATTCGGCAGACTACCGCAAATTTTAGCACACTGAAGAACGAAGGAAGATCGAATCCATACTGGGAATTGCACACGAATGTATGCTCCGGACGCGCCATGGAACGCAGTGGGTAGCAGAATAGCAACGGAACCCATAATAACACGCCCTACAACTTCAAGCCATATAAGACCAACGGTGAGCCATTCGCTTTTTGGCATATTACAAGACAGATTAATACTGTTTAAAATTTTAAAGTAGAAACGACAAATATATTCCATTTATAATATCGCTAATCCAGTAGCCCAGGACTGGTATTGCTATCCACACCCGCCTTTCGGGGGCGAGGGGCTCGCAACGCTGAGGTCGATATTCGCCTGAAACCTCAGGTGTGGACGAGGATTGTTGTTATCGCAACATTTATCCTTAAAGGCGGCATTTTTCTCTCAGTCTGCCTTGTATCATAGTTTTGCGCTATAGAGCGATTATATCGTGGCTTCGGCTGATAGGCGTTAGATACTGAAGAGCCATTTGGGGGGCATGAACAGCTTAATGACATCCCCTCCGTTGTCGTACTGGGTTTCGAATGAAACATACCAGGAACTGGTTACCGAATGCTTCATGGCCGTACAGAAGTAGATATGCACATTGAACGCTATAGTCTGTCCATGAAACCTGTCGAAATAAGGAATATGATCTATTGGCCTTTCATCAGTTATATCTTTGCGCAGATATTCGATCGATCCACGCAGACAAATTTACCATTACAATTAAAGATTACCATTTCGCATTCGCACTTCATACGTACATCGATCTGACGCATGCGGAAATTCTTGACCAGCTATTGCGATTTGGCAACTATTCAAGCTTCGATCATCGTAAATAATGATGAAGGAGGCTATCTTCGAGAATAGGAAGCAAGACCGGTTCTTCGCATACCCGACCTTGATAATAGCATTCTTACGAACACCTACGTTACCGTCACGGTCGCATTTCCCCTGAGATCTTTCGAACTACTACCAGCCCAAAGAATGAATTCGCCTGGCTCGACCACATACTCCATCTTCAGGTTCCAGAGCCCCCAATCCTCAACCTTGAGCTCTATGTCCACGTTTTCCGTCTCTCCAGCTTTCACTAGGACCTTCTTGAATCCTTTGAGCTGTATATTTGGTACTACGATGCTAGAAATCACATCTTGGACGTAAATTTGAATGACCTCCTTCCCATCTACTGGCGACGTGTTTGTAATCCTAACAGAGGCCGTAATTGTGTCCGTGGCAGAGGCCTTCGATTGAGACACTGTCAGATTCGAGTACGAAAAGGACGAGTATGACTTCCCGTAACCAAATTCGTAAAGGGGCTGAGGGTTGTTGAGCACATATTGGTGCCCGAACTTCAAGGTTCCGTTGGGCAAGATGGCCCCGGGATCTGTATAGCGACCTGAATTGAGGTAATCGTAATATATAGGCAAAGTTCCGACGTCGTAGGGAAAGGATACCGAAAGTTTTCCTGACGGGTTAACATTGCCGTAGAGAATGTCTGCAAGAGCATTGCCCCCTTGTTCTCCGGGGTAGAACTGCTGGATCAACGCCGTCGAAGAGTTGGAGATCCAGGGTTCAGATATCGGCTTTCCAGACTGGTACACGACAATTGTGGGCTTTCCTGTTTCGATGATGGCCTGGACAAGGGGCCCCATTGCTCCAACAAGGTTGAGAGACGCGACGTCGACATGTTCACCGGTGGTGGCATTCAAACCCTGCCAGAGCTCTTGCTGATCGCGAGACCAGGTTCCCACAAGGACAACTGCCACATCAGCATCTGAGGCTACTTGGATGGCTTCGGGGAATCCCGATTGATCATTGGACCAACGTTCGCATCCTTTGGCATAGGTAACTTTGCCAGTTGAAACATTTCGAATACCTTGGAGAGGGTCGACGTTACTTGGATTATACTGCGACCGATAGACCACATAATCGCCGAGCTACGCCACCGTTAGTTGCTTAAAGATGTGTCTTGGGTAAAGGGAGGTGAGGCCTGCCACAGAGCTCTGGAGCAGTGCGAGTCAATATCAAGGCCTGCTGCTAGGAGCACCGCCAATTTATGTAAGCTTCTATTTAAGTCTGCACAACCTATCCCCGCTATAAGGGCGAGCATAAGAGTATGGACCCGAACAGGAGATAATATCCTCCGCGCTCCTTACTTTTTTGGGAGCAACAGGCCTTGTTCTCGCATCGCGTGGGTCAGCGCTCCGGGGCCGGCTCAGTTTCTTGAAAAGTGGAGGCTTCACGTACATTCGTAAAATCAGCCATGGGGCCAATGACCGCGACAGCGGCAGATTTCTTGAGAGGGAGAATATTGCCATGGTTCTCAAGAAGGACGATAGATTCAGCATCAAGCTTTCTGGCCAACTCTACACTTTTCGGCGTATGCACTAATGATGTGGTTTCGTTTGATGAAGCTCCGGGATAGGGATGCTCGAACAGCCCAAGCTCGAATTTAGCCCTCAACTGACGAGCGACAGCAGTATTTACGATGTTGATGTCCAATTTCCCAGCCTTGACTAGTTGGGGAATGGTCTTGAAATTGTATGATCCACCACCCATTTCAACGTCGTTGCCAGCAGGAAGCGCATATAGGGTGACTTGCTCCATATCAATGGGTTTGCATTGACACATCTTGAAAGTACAACATAGGCGATCCGTAGCCCCAGCGTCTGACGTTACCCAATACTGATAACCCCATTCCCCGCGGAGGATGTCCGTCATCATATGGTGGTCGGCAACAGCAGGGACTCCATCGTACGAATGATATGCACCCATGATACTATAGGCTCCGGCATCGATGATGGCTCGTTTAAATGGAGGCAGCCAAGTGGTTCTCAGCTCTCGCTCCCCTCCATGCACAGGACCAGTATTGATGCCTTGCTCTGGTGCCGAAAATCCCGCGAAATGCTTGACGGTAGCACTTACACCCCCGCCTTGAACTCCTTTGACGTAGCTGTAAGCAATTTCTCCGACAAGATGGGGATCTTCGCCAAAGGTCTCCTCGACTCGGCCATATCGAAGTTCGCGGGCCAGATCGGCGAGTGGTGCAAACAACTGGTTGATGCCAAGAGCGCGAGCCTCCTGGGCGAGCACACCGCCCATTTCTCTTACAAGGTCGGGGTCGAAGGAGCAAGCATATCCAATGGGACTATTAAACAGTGTGAAATTCCCAACGAGGACCCCATGAATGCCTTCAGTCTGGACGAAAGCCGGGATTCCCAACGTTGTATTTTGCATCAAATAATCTTGGGCACTCCGGACACCGTCACTTATCCAGCTTGGGAGAACCGGATATCCAACGTAAAATTGGCCCGCCTTGTGGGCCATGTTGTCAACGAGGCCACTATAATTAAAGGCATTTGTGGTGGTGTTAATCCAGTTCGAAATGTCGCCTTGGATAAGCTGAGCGGTCTTCTCTTCGATCGTCATGCGCGATAGTAAATCAGAAACACGAGCATCGACAGTTGCAGTAGGGTCCTTGTATGTGGCATTTATCGCCTGTCTTTTGCGAGCAAGGTCGTATCCATGGATAGGGGAGAGCAGTAGCAGGCTTAAAAGAGTGACGAATAAGCCGAGGGGAGGCATGGCGAGGCGCGAGTTTAGCAGGACTTCCAAGATATCATTTTGGTGGAATGGCAGCCAGGCTTTTAACCTGGACAAGGAGATTATATTTCCCCGCGAGCCGACGAGTTAATAAAGGGCCTCCCTTAGTTCATATCGTCCCAAATACCGGGTCGGTCATCAGCGCATACCGCTTAGTCTGCAGCCCTGAAGCTGATCGGTTTGGGGCCATGGCCGAAAGTGCAGTTGAGACCCTGATGTCTGGAGACGGAGATTCGGCCCTGTACACGCCTTGCTCAAGGCGCAAAAAGAAGGCAGAGGGGAAGGGCAAGGGGAAGAGAGAGTGTGCAGGTGACCACTGCAGCTGAGATTAGGTTGTGCTGCTTTGCTGGCGTAGAAGCTTTCTCCACGCGATGCTGAGGGTAACATAGGAAGTCAAGTCAAGATTTGCGGCGGGACACTAGCCAACATGAACGACGACCTATGATTGGTGGACAATTTTCCTTTCCTCGCTTCCCTTCTCCTCACATCTCCTCGTCCTGCAACCCTAGATTTGTCCAGGCGCTGGTTTTCAATCGGCCTGGTTGCAAAATTGAAGGATCAGGAGGCCTCTAATGGGATCTAGGGGCCGTGTTCCGCCTCTATGCAGGACACGGAGAATGCTGCACAGGGGCAAGGTTGTAGCATGGGGTGACCCAGACCGCGCTCAGTCTTATATTATACCTTCTGTTGTTCTCTTGAACTTCATCCTGTGTTAGAGCCGTTGCTCTTCTCAAGATCTTATACCGTCGCTTTGCTGAACCATCTAGAAACCCCTACGAGCCGTTAAAATGGGGCTTGTCTTCAATATTGCCCTCGCGGTTTTTGCTGCGACAGGCTCATTCCTCTTTGGATATGACTCTGGTGTAATGACAGACGTCATCCAATCGCCCAACTTTCTCGGTTTCTTCAATACCAATCCAGACACTGCCATCATTGGAGCAATCAACTCTACGTTCTCCGGAGGAGCGTACGTATGGCCTGGTTTCCAATAGGTTCGCGTTGCTGATTGAGATTGCCTAGCGTCTTTGGAGCCTTGATGTAAGAGGCTATTGTACAAGCGATGGCTCTACCGACTGATGTACTTTAGGGGGGGTCTCACTATGGATCGCTTTGGACGAAGAATGACCATTCTGATCGGAGCAGCCATCAATCTTTTAGGAGCATGTCTACAATGTGGTGCGCAAAATCTCGCAATGATTCTCGTTGGGCGGATTTTGGCTGGCTGGGCTATTGGCTTGCTGTCCATGTCTGTTCCCGTATATCAGTCGGAATGCGCCCATCCAAAAACCAGAGGTACGTGGACTGCTTCAGACAGTGGTAAATAGCTTCGGGCAAATTAATCACTTTTGCAGGACTTATTGTTGGCCTTACCCAGCAAATGATCGGTGTTGGCTTTATTGTTTCTACGTGGGTCGGGTATGGCTCTTCTAAGGTACCCGAGACGAGTGCATTCTCATGGCGCTTTCCTCTCGGTTTTCAGGGCATACCATGCGCCATGTTAATTGCTGGAATCCTCTTCTTCCCAGAGTCTCCCCGGCATCTGATTGAGACTGATCGCTCCGATGAAGCTATGAGAGTTTTACGAAAGCTTCATTACAATGGCCAAAACGATGATTGGATTCAATCGGAGTTCAACGAAATCAAGCTTACAATTGAGGCTGAGAGGGCGATCACAGCTCCAGGGTGGCGAATCATGTTTACGGTTAAGACATGGAGGACGCGGCTTATGCACGCTGTCCTCATTCAGGTTTTTACACAAATGACTGGGTGAGTTTCAAACTCTCTTGTTCCCCTTCTCATGTCTCTTCATACTGAAGCGTGTCACGCCATGCTCGTGTATTCCACGGTCAGGGGACGGCCACGGGAACAACTGTTTACGTGAAAAGTTACTCCTAGCCTAGTTCCATTACACCTGCAAATATGTCCATTTCAAAGTAGAAGCATGAGTAGCAGAGCTGACATCAACCCACAGGATCAACGTCATTGGGTGAGCTCCTGAATTCCGATGAATTGAACGCAATAGCTGACTTTCTGTCGATATTACCAAACACTTATGTATAACAACCTTGGGATAACCGGTGATCGGGCTCTCCTCGTTACGGGTGAGTAGGCTATTCATTCATTGGATGAGCACTAGGACACTTCCGGCAAAAGTGGAAGAGCACTGCAAAATTACACAATACAGATCTCCCAGGGCCTTACTTACGTTAGACAGGTATTTATAATGTTGTCGGACCAGTCTTCAATTTCTTCTTCATCACCGTTCTCCTCGACCGAGTCGGTCGAAAGAAGCCACTTCTCATTGGCACTGTGGGGATCACGATCGCTTTAGTCTGCGAAGCTATTATAGGATCTCAGATAGAGCATGCGACCGGCTCTCGAAAGGACAGCCTATCTATCGCGGGCGTATTCTTCCTTTTCTGTGTCTCCTGCATCTTCAGCTGCTCCTTCGGGCCCATCAGCTGGGTTTATGCATCGGAGATTATGCCATTCCAGATTCGAGGTCGTGGATCAGCTTTTGCAACCGGTATTGGAAATTGGCTCGTTAGCACAGTCTGGTCTCAGGTACCATATCCCTAAGTTTAGGTCAAGCTCATGATCATGCACTGACTCTCTCAAAGGTCTCGCCAATCGGGCTCGGTCATATCACATACAAGTTTTACTTCATTTTCGTGGCCTTCAACATATGTGTCACGTTCCCTACCATTTTCTTCATTTTCAAGGAGACAACGAAGTTGACTCTCGAAGAAATTGATTTGCTTTTCGGAGAGCGCGCATTAGGGACGCTACCGGAGGATCTAGACGCCAAGGAATTAGCTAAGGGGACAGATCCGGAGCGCCAGATTTCTCTCCATGAGATGCATGATGAGACGCACTAGCCAGAAATTTATGTGGAGTAATTCAGAAGCCTCAGAAGATAGTCAACATCGCCTTATATATGCAGACCTGAAGTCAATTCCTACTGTTTGATAGGGCTTGCACGTAGTACAGATAGCAGATCTTGTCAGAAAATACGGACATACTAAATTTATCCATTTCTTGCCCTATGAATGTGCTGTGAGCCTTTGGGCGAACGAGTATATCCTCGTGACAGAAAGATCAAGACCATAAATAAGAGAATGTCTTGGAGAGTACATAAGCTACCCGAATGTCTTAACCACCCAATCGCCCCCAAGAGCTTCCATTCCCTGAAGTCCTCCACCGTGGCCCACTTCCAATACCCCAGCGTCCAGTCCTTCACGATCTACCAGCTTTGCCTTATCTCCCTCCTTGACGCCATACAAACGAACCTCGCCTCCTTTATTCAACCAGTCGTACGAGAACCCGCCCTCACCTTCCTCTTCCCCAAGCACCAGCAAAGTCCCCTCTCTGACAAACATCGGGCAAGCCAAGAACCCAAATTTCTCTGACTGCCATCTACCACCTTCCACTTCCTTTCCGTCCCAGAACGAAAACCATCTCCCCGGGGGGAGATAGTATTCCCCCTTGCCATCTTCTTCGAAAATTGGCGAGGCTAAAATAGAGCTGCCAATCATAAACTCGCGGTCCAGATACCAAGCTGTGGGGTCGTCCGGAAATTCCAAAGCAACGGCTCGAATGCTGCTCGGCCAGCCATTCTCAAAGCTCTCGACGGCTTGTGCATAAATGTAAGGCATCAGCTTTCGCTTTAAACGCACCCAGTGTCGCAAAGTTTCAGTACAGTTCTCTGGCTCAGCAGAGGAATCGTCGATAAGCCAAGGGACGCGATATGAGTTTGATCCATGGAGCCTCGAATGTGAGCACATCAAACCGAAAGCAACCCAGCGTTTGTAGATCCATGGCTGCGGGCTGCCCTCAAACCCTCCAATATCGTTAGACCAGGAGGCAAACGACGCAAGACCAAGCGAGAGCCCGCCTCGGAGTGATTCAGCTAATGCCGCGGGCGTTGACTCGCAATCGCCACCCCACTGCAAAGGGAATCTCTGGGTTCCTGCGCAAGCCGTGCGAGCGAAAAGAACCGCTTGGTCTTTCCCGTACCTTTTTTGGAGTGTTTCGTAGACCAACTTGTTGTATATGAATGCGTAAAAGTTGTGCATGCGAGCTGGATCCACGGACTCGTCATACCATCGTACATTTTTTGTCGGGATCCGCTCTCCAAAATCTGTCTTGATGCAATCTACGCCTATATCGTAGAGTCTCCCTAAGCACTCGGAAAACCATTGAGCAGCTTTAGGGTTCGTGAAATCCACAATACCCATACCTGTCTGCCACAAGTCCCATTGCCATATGTCTCCATTGGTTCGCTTTAGGAGATAGCCTTTTTCGGCAGCAAACTTGAAGATCGGGGACGCCTGTCCAATATATGGGTTCGTCCAAACACTGACTTTGTTTACAAGCCCAGCCTCTTTCATCCGTCTGATTTGTCCAGCTGCGTCTGGGAAGAACTCGGGGTCCCAGACGAAATCGGTCCAATGAAAAGCACGAAGCCAGAAACAATCAAAGTGGAAGACTTCCACGGGTATATGTGACGATTTCATCGTTTCAACAAAATGCGTAACAGTCTTTTCATCGTACGAGGTTGTAAAAGATGTTGAGAGCCAAAGCCCGTAGGACCAAGCGGGAACTTTTCCAGGTTTTCCAGTCAGGATGGAGTATTTCGTCAGAACCTCTTTGGGGTTAGCGCCGTAAATTATGAACCTGCCTACAGTCAGAGATTCTCTTTGTCAATGAACATTTAAAAGGCTAAAGGGTCAACTAAAACTGTACCATTTCAAGCGTTGCGACTCCACCGCCGTCTGTAGCCTGCAGCACCTCTCGCTACCAATCTCGAGGTCAATTTTCTCCGGCGCGTCAATGAAGACTCCGTACCCACGGGAGCTCAGCCAAAATGAAATGTTCTTGTAAGCCTGATCACTAGACGTCCCTCCATCTTCATTCCAGACTTCAATATTCTGCCCAACGCGGTTCCACGCACCGAATCGCTCTCCCAGGCCGTGGATGGTTTCTCCAACGCTAAGCTCCGTTTGAGTGAAAATGTAGTGCCGCCTGTCGCTTATATCTTCTACTTGCTTCGGGCTTGTAAGCGCAGGGCTATACGCCAGGCCGACACTCCTGCTAAGCAGGGAAGTGAGGTTTTTCGATCCATTGGTAGCATGGAAGCGAATATCGAAAGTATGCTGATCTGGATGAACTGTGGCAGAAAGGCTTCCCGAAGAAATAGTCGTGCCTTTCTCGCTCTTCCTTATAAAAGGAAAACTTTTCGGTTGTCCCTCAGGGTAAATATCAAAGTTAGGACCTCGTCGCCGTGCTCCAGCAAAATGTGTTACCTCGAGCGAAAGCACGCCGTCGAATTGTGCTTCAATCTCAATTGAAAGGGTACTCAGATTCAAGGTGTCTCCACGTGAGTGAATTTGTCGAGTTGGGCAGAGAAGGGTGAGAGCCTTTTCGTCGTGACGTGGTGTAATGGTATAGATATCTTCGGCGTACTGGACAGTTTTATCCTCGCTCACCAGCCACATGCCTACACACAGTATCAGCACCTTCTAGACCTATTAAGGTGATGGAAGACAGACCATCGCGAAATTTCATTTTTGGAGACCGTGAAACTTCAGCAGCAATGTCTTCCAGAAGGGTCAATCTTTAGCCAGACGAAGTTGTACTAGGACGGAACACGGCCTAGAGGAAGATATTATCTACAAAATTGTTGCTGGAATGAGAGAGAAGGCTAAAGCATCGCAAAACTCTGTGAGAGACATTTGAATCTCCAACGAGAACAAGACACTAATCGGAGACATGGACCGACAAGCCTAGGATATTGGTCATGAGGCTATCGTGAGTGGACGGATTCTTCGGTAACAATTTGTCCGAAGCTGCACCGTCAGCTCTGTGCCAACAGCTGCGCGAGAGCAAGCTTTGCAAAAGCTGGGAAATAGGTATGTTAGCCGCGTGCAACGGAATTACGACAGAAGACTTGTTCCTCTTGCTTTCTTTCTTCCTTCCCTACGAGTCGCAGAAGGCCGAAAGGATCCATTTCTCTCTGGTGAGTACTAAGCCTGATAAGCGTCGACCTCCTGTGACTAATAGGGTAAAGCTCTCCAGAGTCTTGTGTCCTTTTGTAAAGCGATGGAAGAGATGGCCATAGGCTCATGAGGCCGACCCTTTACAATCTCGGCTGCTGTTGCACTACCAGTCTCTCTTCCCATGATACCGAGGTGTGTACGGGGTACAGGCTCTCAGATCTTATGAGATGCTCACTATGCGGATTCCCAGCGGATTCCTGGACGCTTATCACCAGAAACGGGAAAGGTGGCTGGTTGTGGTCGAGAAAAATCCGGTGGGGTGAGGATTCAAGAACGAGTCACGCAAAACCCATGTCAGGTCCAATGGGATTTCCTTTTACAAACTTGGGCGTTGACAAGACCTCGGGAAACATGCATGACGCCCGCCTCCGAATCCAACATCGAGTCGCATCATTCATGTGGGTCTGCACGTCTCGCGCGGAAGACATCCGGACCAGTGGCATGGTGATCCTTCTGCATGGTTCATGGTTGCGCAACGGCAGCCAAGGCACGAGCAAAGCTCCCACGCTCTCCTGCGGCGGACCAGCGCAGCGCTAGTATAAAGTGAGGTCTCTGGTGATGAAATTCAAAACAAGAGTTTAGAGCCTCCGTCCTCATCATTTACACAGTCCTTCGACCTGTCATCGCTCGCCGCAGTGCCCTGCACGCCTCTGCCATGGTATACACAATCGTCCTGTTCGTCTCCCGAAAGCCAGGCTTCTCGATAGCCCAATTCAAAGAGCATTGGGAGGGAAAACACATCCCGCTTCTAAAATCAATCGCCGGACCGAGTTTTCCGCTCTCGCATACTCGAAATTACGTCGCTCGCGTGGGAGGAGGTGCAGGAACTCGAGCAGGAGTAAGTCCAGGGGTTGACGCCACATCTACATCGCCTGTGGTTTTGGTCGGAAATGTTGAAGCTGTTGATTGGGATGGTTACGCCGAGTTGAAATTCAGAGATGAGCTTCACTTCCAGCAATTCTTCGCTCTAGTAAACGAACCGGAGGCGGCAGCAAAGATCCAAGAGGACGAAGAGAGATTTTCGGACAGCGAGAAGTTCAAGGTGGTTGTGTTGGGTGAAACAATCAGTACAGGACAAGATTGAGACAATCGACACCAGCAATGATATTCCAGAAACCCGACTCAGTATACCCTTGATAGTAGTCGTGGATGATTGAGATTGAATTAGTCGGTCGACACGGATTGCACCCTCCGATGGCGCCTTGGAACAAGATAGAAGGCTTGAGTGTAGCCTCTCGGACACTGATCTGAGAATCTAAAAGCACAAATAACTACCTGGACTCCTGTCCTCCAGGCCATTCAAAAGCGACTGAGAATACCGTTCTAAAGCCTGCTGTCATTTGTGGTGGTGTTCTAGTAGGCCCGAACCGAATCGATCATACGGAGAACGATTACAGTAAACACAAGCTCGCTTGTCAAAAACGTCTTCATGTGTAGCTCGGTTACTTACAGCTTCAGTTATTCCCATGACTTTCGCAACTGTCATCACAATATAAATGGACACCATGTGCATATGCTGATCTTAGATCACGAGCATTTTTCTTGCATTAGTAACTCTCGGGTCACCGTTAGCACCCTCCCCGACGTAATAGGCGCTTGGAACTCATTCAGCTAATAGGTGACGTATTGGGCTCAAGCTGTCGAGCTTTCATACGCGTTATAGAATAGAGCAAAATAAGGTACCTACTAGCGACAAGCCAAGCCCTCTGGTCTACAGTCAGTACAATGGCACAAACGTTCATAGTTTTTATCGCTGCATTTACAGGTTTTTCGAATCTGGGCGCAGCCTCCTTCTCTCGTTACACTTACACCCATAACAAATTAATCAAAACTCATTGCTTACGGTCACCTACGATCTTGCAGCCGAGGTGACCACTTGCTGTGCTCTTGAAGATGCATTTGAGCGAACAGCCTGGGTAGCGGTGCTTCTGCAGACCTTCTCGAAAAAATATTTTTCAACATGTAATTGCATCCTAGCAGCGTCAGATTCTATATTACAGTATATGTTACAAATTTCAAATCCACAAGTTTCCCTCTTTTATACCTACTCTAACATCCTGTGGAGGATAAAATAGCCTGGCAGTAGCCGCTCAGAAGATCGGATGAAGTGACTCTGCTATCTAAGAGAGTTGAAGGCTCTCCTTATATACACCGAGCTTCGGAACATACTATCTCCAAATCCCGAGCCGCGTCCAAGGCTCTGAGCCCCAGCCAAGGCTCTCAGTATACGCGACACATCCAAATAGTGCAACCCCCAAATTTTAAATACCAAGCCCACGTGGATATTGAGGAATACGCTTTGTCTTTACACCGGCCTGGAAAGGATGGACTTCAGTATCACACATGGTGTTCTCTGGAGGGAGTTCGCCACATTCTAAGAACTTCTGTAGGGACCTAGAAATACAGTCTGATTGTGCGACTTGTAGACCGTGCTATCATGTAGCAGATATGTCAGACGGAGAAGTTGCGGTAAGGCACTACTGAGACTTACCCCAATAGTATCTTGTTTGAGGACCACGGAGCCTGGGAAGAGCTTTGACATCTTGTCCCCGCTTGATGTAACCGGGTCAATGCGGTTTGCTGTGAAGAGAATAGGGTGGCTCGTGATTGTAGTGTTGAAGCCTGCAGATAGTCAGTGGGATAGCCGCTCAAGTATTCACGGAACGCTAATAGGAGTAACACAAGAAATGGGGTCTGACTCACCATAGAATAACTGGTTCGCTGGAGGAGTAAATTGCAGAGATCGACACTGCAATATAATGACTGTGGCCCAAACCTCGCCGACATAAGTGCTAACCATCTCTAAATCACGAACATAATCGTGCCATTTCCCGACAGTCGAAATATTGTATCTTCCGTTAGCATCATTGCAGGCAATCAATAGCCTTGGTTGAACTGAACTGTACAATGGATGGTCGAAATTGCAATCCGCCTGCGGCATAAGGCCCTTCCCTGTCCCACCAGCCTCTAGGAGTGGGATCATGATAGACCCATTTCGCGCCTCAAGGCCAGACAGCATAGAAGCTATTAAAGGGAACCCGGATATTGCGCTGTACAATGATAATAGAAGGGCCCCTCGAACATCCTGGCCTGTGATGACTGTAGGAAAATCAACGAAGGCCGGATCAGCGACCGAGATTGGATTCTCTTCAATGTCTTTTAGGATAGCATTTGCCCGCCTTTCAATGTCCTTTGCTGAGGAGTCATTGCGGAAAAAAGCGCAAGATGGGCCAGCCTGATAGCAAGATTCGAAGAATCCCTGAACGGCCTCATCCGCTTGTACAAGATTCTGCTTCCAGGCTCCAGAGTAATAGTCTTCGGCATCTACTACACCGTCGATGATCATTCGTCCAACATGGTCCGGGAATAGTGCTGCATAGGTGATTCCTAGAGTGGATCCATAACTAACACCGTAATAGTTCAACTTTGCATCGTTCGGGGATTCGCCTCGGCTCTCTGCTAAGACCTTGATATACTGTAGCATATCCCTTGCTGTGGCAGGCGTATTGGCGTAGTTGGCCTCATGGCTGAGACTCCTGGAGCACCAGTCACCGAATGCTCCTGCAGCTTGAAAATGCTTCGACATCGAAGAAAGGCATTTCAGATCGACATCAGAATAGTAGGTCGAATCATAGTAATCGCGGATTGCGGGGCTTCCTTGGAAACAGTCGAGATGTGGACCGCTATTGTTGACGCCTCGTGGATCGAATCCAACAATGTTGTATGCGGTACCGAGAAGCCTTTCAAGTATGACGGAGCCCTGCAAGACATAGTCGATGCCAGAAACCCCCGGACCTCCGGGATTAATGAGGATATCTCCCATTGCAGGTTGCTGAAGCGCCTCCTTTTTGAGAAACGCGACATTAATAGTGCCTACGTCTGGCTTTGTGTAATCGAGAGGGACCTCAAGGTTGGCACAGGAAAAGTTTTCAAAACAAGGAGTCCATTGTAGACTTGCGGAGGAGGCTACCTATATATATTTTGTGTTAGAAGATATTCCTTGTGAAGGCTCACAAAAGGCGTGCAAAAAAAAAAAAAAAAAAGCCCCCCCCCAAAGCCCAAAGCTCGAGTCGTGAATAATGCGACAGGTCCGGACAGACACAATACAGAAGGGCATAGTAGCTCACCTCAGCAAAACTCCATACCGTTGTTGTATTCGTTGCATTGCTCCTAGTTGATAGTGGTTTTGCAGAAGCGAATGCGAAAAGGCCGAACAAGGTCAAAGAGGGATCAATCATGATGAATAGGATAACGTACGAATTCAAGTATAGGCAAAGAAAGGTTATAATAATGATGTGGCTGAAGGACCGTTGACGGTGGGGATCGTCTTTCAAGTAAACGTTTGGTCGTCATATTTATCACTTCTTAAAATTATTATTTCTATTAACAGCTCGGGCGGAACGGGGATTGCAGTAAGGTCACAGTTTCAAGTGCACAGCCATGGTTGTCATTTCGTTACCTGACTAGGTCATTTTTGCGGTAGGATTTGCTTGGGATAGGATGCCGAATCCTTTCGAATGGAGGCGAGCGAGGCTGGTTCGTAGCATATACAAGTTGCCGGGTGGCCTCCATTAGCAGGAGCGCTGTCATGTAGCGTTTTTGCTCCTTTGAGAACCTAATATAAAGACTTTTACCCACTTTAGGTAGTTAACTTGCAGATCTACCGTCAGTATTGTACCTTGTAAAAAGCTAGTTACAATCCAAATATCGCCTTAAGGCTAAGCAGAACGCCCGGCATACTTGAGCTCAGCTGCCTGGGCCAAGAAACTAAAAGCCTCTAACGTCCATGCTTGTCAGCCTAGCCCTTTGCTCGTCAGCCTAGTGGCGCCACACCATAAATCTAGCTAATAGAGGCGTTAGGTTAGGTGTTTAGCCTAACTATCTATAAGAGTAACTATAGTAATTTTATAGTTTTTTATATATAAGATAACTATAATTAATTTAACACTAAATTTCTCTTATCTTAATACTTTTAAATTTTATGTCTGTACGCAGCAGCAGCGTTACAGTCTGGATACTAGTTATTGCGCACGAGAAGGATCACGTAGCTATGTCACATGATGCTCGTGCGCCAACCTCCGTGTGCGAACATGTAGATATTCCCCTTTTCCTCCGTACGAAAGAAAAAGACAGAGCAATGACCAGAAACCTGTTGCCCCCACGCTACCTACTTCGTACGCTGTGCATACTGTACACTACTCTTTATCTTGCTACTTAAGTGCTCATACTATAAGCAGCTAGCTGAAAGAGCCCATTCAACATTTTATGTATTAGTTTCTTTTATTATCAGCTATAGACAACTAGGTTTCTATATGTACTGTAATTGTCCGTACGCAGCAGCAGCGTTACAGTCTGGATACTAGTTATTGCGCACGAGAAGGATCACGTAGTTATATCACATGATGCTCGTGCGCGAACCTCCGTGCGCGTTATCTCACGAGCCATACCCTCTGGAGGGATCCACCGGGCGTCGGCAATAGGTAGTACCGATTGCCGAGGAGGCTTTGCGCTGCTGCGCCACGCTCGACGAATCACTCCAGAGGGTCTGAGAGAAAATGGTACAAGCTTTAGTGTGTCTTAGCTGCAGTTATTAGGCAAAATTTCTCCACTTCACTAATGTACTTCTCTATTACAACATGCCTCTAACAGCTTGCTGTTTAAACAGAAGCTTACCTAGGGCTTAAACTATTATATGCATTTGCACTTTTAATTAAACCTCCCTCTGTACACTGCCTAGAGGGATCTAATTAAAAGCTTATATAATTATACTTAATTGCCCTCCCCTATGCAACTTAACTAGTAGAGTAGCTAGAGATAAGCTAAGAGTTAGAGCTAACTAGCCTGCTTGTGTGCAACTAGCTCTAGCTCTTAGCTTGCCTCTAGCTGCTCTAGTAGTTAAGTTGCATAAGAGAGGGTAATTTAGTGCAAAGCAACTTAGAACTAGCTTTAGCAGTGTACTTTACCCCTAAATTATAAGTTTAGCTCTTTTAAAATGTAACTACTATATAGCTTAGTTACTTAAGTTTTAATTGCATTTAACAAATATCTATTTTATTGTGTTGTAGGTAGGAAAATGTTAAAAAAAGCTAAATGCTAAACAGAGATACATATAAATTTACTCTATTTCTCCTTAGACGCTCCGCAGACGGTTGCAAAAACGTGACATCACTAGCCACAGCGCTTTGATTGGTCCGGTTAAACCTTGGAGGAGCGTCTGACCCGTGAGATAACGTGCGCGAACATCTAGATAATCCCCTTTTCCTCCGTACGGAGAAAAGGACAGAGCAATAGAACCAGAAACATGTTGCCCCCACCCTACCTACTTCGTACGCTGTGCACACTGTACACTACTCTTACTCTTGCTACTTCAGTGCTCATACCATAAGCAGCTAGCTGAAAGAGCCCATTCAACAGTAATCAAGTAGGCGCCCCGCCTGCCAAGCCGATACTATACGACTTTCCCCACTATACCAAAAGGTACGCACGAGAATACTTAAGCTAATGTAAGGCCGAGATGGCGCTTACGTGCGACGGGTATATATACTATTCTGTACGGCAATAATTAACCGTTGGTTAATTATTCGCACCTTTTTGGTTGTATTAGCGCAGTGGTACAGAGCTCCGTCCTTACAGCTAAGTATTCTCGCATAGTATAATATATATATAGATAATGCTAGGGCTAGCACTAGCACTAGCGGTTGTCTCTAGTCTAGCCTAAACCTCTAT